ATATGCGAGATAAACAGATGCTTGGAGCCTCCACACCACCAGGGGGCCCCAAGAGCATCAAGACAGCATGATGAAACATACATAAAACAGTGAATAATGTAAAATAAATTCTGTTAAACAATTTTTTACGTTGTTTTTATAGTTCGTACACAAATTATAGATTGACCTCTTCTTGCTGCTGGGAAAATATGAGATATTAAACTGGTTAACTTGTTTCCTGTAGCCCACGGTCCTAGCCTAACCCGTTTACTGTAAATTTAAATGTTTATCAGGTGATGCTACCTTCAAACATTTAAAATAAAATACCGCTCTACTTCTCAAAACTTTATTTTAATTTACTGCAAGGTTGAAATCAACAGCCATAATTACAGTCATTTCATTACAGTTATGAAATGACTGTAAAACACAGAACACAGCACATTTTATAAAGTAAAAGTTATTTAACTAAAAGTGGATCAAAACATGAAATATTTCTCACTTTAGAGATAATTTCCCTGGCTGTAGGAAGCTGTGCTCTTTTTAAACGTTCTTCCAGTTTTATTTAAATTAGCCCTTTGCAGTTGTGAAGGCATAATGACATGATTTAAGTGGGATCCAGTCTTCTGCTTGCTCTTGTGTGTCTCTGCTTGCTTTTGTTTTGATTGTACAGATGCAGATCATTGTTTAGTTGCAGCAAGTCGTAACTGTGAATCCGTCAGTCGTCACTCCTTTGATTCAGAGCATCTTATCTTATCTGCACTCTCCGTCATCTCAACAATTGGACAGAGTGTCCCAACCGACGTCTGCATAATATTAAACACGTGATGCAAAGGCATGTACAGCTCCACGGTTAGCACCTCTCTGCTGAACACACACATCTAATGATGCATGCACTTGACCATTCACATTCATAAACAAACGATGTACGCATAAAGTGACGCAAGAAAAGGAGGCCAAGAAAACCAAAAACAGGAAATAAGAAAACACCTTGGTGCAGGCTGTGCACTGAGCCACTTGTTTCAGTGTTTCTGTGCAGGTAGAGAGTGAAGGCTGGTGGCGTCTGTAGCGTTTTATGCTAACAGTGTGGTTTTGGTGTCACAGCTTGCCCACTCTGTGTGTTTTTTTTTTTTCTCCACATCTCTAATGAACACGTTTGCAGCAGAGTTCTGTGCAGCGGTATGGTGTTTGTGAGCTTGTTCTGCGCCTCACCACATCACTGGGATGTTGAGTGTGTGCGCGTGTGTGTGCGTGTGTGTGTGTAATGTGGTTTGAACCATGCAGCATCACGGATGTTTCCAGTCATTCTGCTCAGCAACCAGAGTCACCAGCAGATATAGGAACTGTGTGTTCTGATCTTATCGTAAGCTGTTTTCCTCGGTTTCTGTTTCCTTGTTTGCTTTCTGTTTCTTTTAAAATTAAAATAACAAATATTACTCAATCCTTATGTAGGAAATAAAGTTCTTCAGCACTAAAACTGGGTTTTTGTGCTTTTCTTTAACTTTTGGGTTATTTTAAAGTGTAATTTGGATGCAGGAAAGTGATTTTTTTTAATTTCTCTTCATCTCTCGGTTTCTTTTTCCGTTATCTCCACACCTCTCCCACTACCTGAGTTTTGCAAACAGCAGAGCATCCTGCAGAGCCGCCGCTGCCACCGCCGCTGCAGTGAAACTGAACCAACTGTGACTGGAGGTTTCCTCCTCTGATGCGCAGACAAACACCACAGGTGATCGGCACGAGTTGCAGGGGGAAGCTGACTGGAGAGCACATGACTTACAGATACTTTTTTTTTTTTGGTTCGTATTTTCACATAAACACCCCCTCTCCCCTTTTTGGAGTTAATATACTGCCAGACTTGTGGGAAAACCACAATTTAAATATGTCCTACACGCTGACTCCCTCACTTACAGTAATTCATTGTTTGAAGGAGCTTTTTGACTCAGTCGCCATTGGGAACTCGTCAGTTTTTATCAAAAAACATGAAAAACACGTTTTCGGTTTTAGCATTTATGCTACGAACACAACAGTTTGTTTCTAAAGGATTTAAATAAACACAAGCAGGTAGAAGTTTATGAGGAACGAGTGATTTTTTTTTCTACCTCTTTGAAACTGTCAAATTTGTTGTTGTCCTGCTTAAACCAGATTAAAATATTAGAATTTTTTTATTTATTTATTTATTTAGACAAGTTTGATTAGAGAGACAGAAGTTCAAACTGACAGTTAACAAAAAAACTCTAATCTGAAAAAAATCCATCTAAACTCAGCTTTCTTTCACCATTATTTTTTAATCAGTGTTGTTTATTTTCTAAGTTTATTGTTATATTCAACAGTCGCCATGTTTATTTTGTGAAAATGACATGAACTGCAAAACAGAACAAAATAAACCTCGAAGTGCCATTCACATTTACTGGCACCCACAGGACGAGTTGCAGGGGGAAGCTGACTATTTTAAGACTTAAGTCTTAAAATAAATGAATCTTTGATTTCAGTGAATCGGGTTATTTTCCTTCCAGGATGAATTAAAAGCTGTAAACAGAACAGGAGAAAATTCAAACCAACATGATTGGATCATATATCCAACTCCAACGTCTTTCTAACCACAAAGCCAGACAGATTTAAAGAGGAGCAGCAAAAGCAAATGAGGTGGATTAGCAGTTCTGACACTGACTGGGTCATCCGGAACATGCTACTGTAGTAAATTGTCTCTTCTGCTCGGATATTTAGCTATTAGCTTGTGATGATGGCCATGAGACTCTGATAAAGAAAGTCTTCAGTCAGAGGCCTCTTCAGATTCTCTGTGAGACTGACTGCTACTGGAGATCCTTCCAGCCCCACCATCACTGGAAACTCTTTGAAGATATGAATTATGACAAACTTTAATTTTCCTTTTTAGTACATGAACTTTTTCTGAATTGAACTGAATCAAATTCAGTCAAATCAAATTCATCCGTTCATCACAATATTTTCTCTCCTGGTTTGATTTTTGTTCTCATGGCTTCTTCTTGACATTTTGCCTCACATTTTTTGCTTTCACTAATAATCTTCCTAATAATGAATAAATAATAAATAAATCCGTTTATTATTGAAAGCTTACTTTACTTGATGTTAATTTGCAATGAATGATACTCTAATAATCCTTATTTAGCAAATATAAGAATTACAGATTATAGCCGATGCACAAACTTTAAAGTCTGTTTCAGCTGCTGCTGTTTAAATGTGACCCTGTCATTCTTCCTTGAACAGGTTAGCATAGCTTTGTGGCCTATACAAAACATGTTCATTACATGTTTTTCACAAAATAACTTTAGAAAATTAGATTTCAGTCTCCTCAGTTCTGCCTGTTTTGAGCTCCATTCAGAATGAGCTGTGTTTGAGCCTGTTGTCACTTTAAATCCAAACAAGTTTACACTTGCACGTGAAAACGGCTGCAAACAAATGCACAGCTATACACCAGTACATATTTGAAAGGCAGAAGTGGAGCCTCCTGTACAACCAACAAGAATATAGGAAGTTGTTTCTGGATGGTAAGTCGACAACAAAATATTTGTCTTTTCCAGGAGCCATTGTACAGCACATACTGCTAGCTTGGGATGCTAGGTGACAGGAGGAACTCTCCTGGGGTTGCTAGGTAACGAGCTGGGATTCACTGGGGTTATATGGTGAGCAGCGCCTGCTGATTTGTGATGTTAAAGTCGGAAGGTTTTGGAACAATTTGTTTTCCACTCACCAAAATCACCTGAGTCGATTTTAAGAGCTGAAGTACAAAAACATCCAAAATGTGAATTTTGTATAACAGGTCCATTTTAATGATTTATGAAATCCACAAATAAGTTCAAGGTGGATATTTTGCACTACCATAATACTTTCCAGAAACTCGCTTTCATAACGTAGAAAGCTTTTTGCTTTTTTAAATGAACAGGATAAGTTGGGAAAAAGACCGAAGGAGTTTCTTTGTCTCTCCATCTCTGGCCTTTGATGTGCAGCGGTGGAGTTGGTCGAGTGTTCATCTGTTTTTAGTCCCGGTGTGGACAGGGTGGCGGGGGAAGGGGGAGCATGAAGAAGCAGACTTGATAGGCAGCGGAAGTGAAGATAAAAAGAGGCACAGCTGGACTGATGGGAGTGATGGGAGCCGCTCTTCTTCCCAGTAACAAACTCACAGAGAAGCAGGAAAAGTTCCCAACTTTCTGAGTCTCACACACTTGTGCAAGGACAGACGGGAAAGATTCCTCCTTTGTCTCTTTCCCGCACACACACGCACACACACTTGGCTCCTTGCTGCTGTTGTCAGTAAGTGGCCTCAGACTCCACCCTTCATTCTTCATATATAGTCAGGTGCTTTTTTTCTTACCCAGAGAAATCAATCACCAGTCCGCTGCTCGTCTACGGCCTGAACACTTTGTGTGTGTGTGTGTGTGTGTGTGTGTGTGTGTGTGTGTGTGTGTGTGTGTGTTTTCTTTCTTTGACTATATCTGAAGCTTTAGCGTGGTTCAAAATGAGTCAGTGCAGCTGAAACTGTTTTGCTTTCTGCTCATTGTTTCTTACAGATTTTGAAAAAAAGAGAATAAAAATCATGTCAGACGAGCGCATGAGTCATCACCTTCAGGCCGCAGATTGATTCAGTTTTTTGGCAAAAAGTTTAATTTCTTCACTTTGTTCTTGGTAAAACCATTGTAACCACTGAAAACTCAAACAAGGGCTTTTAATCTTTGATTGATTCAGGGAAAGTAAAAACTGAGCTGATTACCGAGAAGCAAATGGTCACATGTAGAGCCACGTGCCGAGGTGACAATCGAAAGTTGGATATGAAATGTTAATTTAAAAGAAAGAAAGCACCTCTCCAGGGGGTTTTGAGTGGCAATTTGCGTATTATCTTAAGACTGTCTTTAATTTGCATAGATTTTCCACTATTTACCTATATAGTGATAAAGATGATAAAAAAATCTGTGAAAATTTGTAACTTCATGAGTTCTGAGAAACATCATTTCCTTAAACAATAACTTGGGTTTATCTCTGTCTATTCTGATAGGACTGAGATTGCAAGGAGGGTTGAAGTCGACCCATTTTATCAAGTAAGACACTGGCTTCACCATAAAGATCGTCATGTCAAAGGAGCCCTGTTATGCAATTTCCACTGTTTTGTGGTTCTGTTTGGGTTTTGTGCTGTTTTACTTCTAAAAGTAGTATGAAAAGTTTAACTTTAAAAAAATAATCAAAATGATTTTTGGCAATAATTTTATGTCCTTTGGTGAAAAATGAGCCATTTACAAAAAACCTTCTGAATGTAACGTTGGAAATAAGTAGCTACTGCTCCTCACCTAGCAACCCCAGAGAAGCACCACCTGTTACCTAGCAACCCCAGAGAAGCCCCACCTGTTACGTAGCAACCCCAGCAGAGTTCTGCCCGTCACCTAGCAACCAAGGCGGATCTGCAACACGTTTTATCCAGCTGTGTGCGTGTAGAAATCTCATTAAACCTAATTATTTAAGAATGATTTTGTGCAAAAATGTAATGAACATGTTTTGTTTAGCCCATAGAAAAAATCCTAACCTGGATTTCGTGTAGAAGTGACAGATTGTTATTCAGACCAGTCAGCCATAGGACTGCAAGTGGTTTATTCTCTGTTGCTGCCATTAAAACATATTGACAGACAAACAGCCCATGAGTTAGGACTTTGACTAGGCCCTGCAAACTTTTATTAACTGTAGTTTTTAGGTTTTTTGAGTCATTCAGAGATGAGGTTGCTGGTTTGCTTTAGTTCATTGTCCTGCTGCATAACTTAAGTGTGCTGAACCTCAAGGTGATGAATGTTTGGTTGGACATTTCCTTTTGGATTGTCTGCTAGAGAGCAGATTTAATGGGTTGTAAAAGAAAAGCAGTCTGAAACCATCAGACTATCACCATGTTTGACTGTCTGCTGTCAAACATGGTGATGTAACTGGATGCAGACACCAAAAGGTCCATAATTTTCTTGTCAGTCCACGAGATGATCAAGATGTTTTTCAGGAAATGTGAGATGCATCTTTGTGTTTTTTGGTCAGCTGTGGTTTTGACCTGGGATGCCTACAGGTCATGCCGATACGAGGCTTGGGTAAAACAGAGCCTCAATTTTCAAACAAAAATGTCTTAGAGCCTTTGGATTCGTAATTTCACATAGTTGGGTTATTTTGCTGAGAAGTTACTTATAAGTGAACTTTGTCTCATTTTCAAGTGTACTAATATATTTGGACGAGAAAGTAGATACAAATACTTGGTAAGATTTTTTGCTTTTGCAGTAAAAAAGCATTAATCCGAGGACCTCACCCTGTGGATCCCCAAGACCTGTGGTGTTTTATGACTTTTCTGAACAGACTAGAATCTGTTTATTTTTATTAAAATTATAAAAATGTTCCTTTTTGTTTTGTCCAAAAACTTCTGATATATCATAAGATGTAATGTGTTTAAAATTTCCTAAAAATCTACAAACTAGAGACTTAAAAGTTATTGTAGTAAACACCATCACTTGTTCTGACAATGACATTGAATTGGATTACCAGTTATTTTCTAAAATGCCATAATCTGTCCTTGTTGACTGAAGGTCTATAAAATAAGAAAGGACTCATTTCCAGACAAATAAGCTGTTCAGGCTTTTCTTGGCCAATCCTCGAGCTGGCACATGAACACTACCAGGTGCTCTCTGTAAGGGCCAGACTGCACTCTGCCATTCACTTTAACTGGGGGCAGCGTGAAAGCCGGATGGCACAAACACCGGCCCTTCTGTGGGCAGTCGGCCTGGCTGGACAGAACCTCTTAAAAGGAGAAAGGATAAAGAGGGAGTTTTAAAAAAATGAAAGGCTGAAATTGTAAAAGTCCAATAAGAACAGCATAGAATCACCAAAACAGGCCCCAGTCTCCAGCCTGCCAGCCCCCGACATTTACATTAGAAGAGGAGGGACGCAGCGGGCCTGTGGAGGAATAGACGGATGGGGAGGAGAGGTCCAACGCGCCGTTGGGAGGCTGTAAACACTGGACGACAGTATCTCCATGGAAGCCTGAGCACCGCTCTGAGGCATCTAATCCCCCCTGAATCCAGCCGTCAGCCACCCAAGTCCATCAAGAGCCAAGTGTCCTGACCACCGGGGCCGAGTCGGCCCCGAGTCGGCCTCTCGCCTCGCCGGCTGGCCTGGTTGTCCGGCAGAGCAGATGTGCGCAGAGCGGTGGCCTTGGATGACTTGATCCCCTGGGCTTTACAGAGAACGACGGAGGAGGACAGAGGATAAGAGTGGCCTTGGTGGAGAGGCGGCCAGGCTTTCTCTTCACCCAACATCTCACAGCGAAGCGAGCGTCCATATGTCACGTGTTTTTAAGAAACCATACTTGGATTAGGGCTGGCCGATATGGTTGGAAATCTCACCACCATATTAACGTTTCATATTGACAGTTATTGATTTGTTTTTGTTTTTAATATTTAAAATACGTCCAAACCAGTTGGTGTGACTTTTACTATTTTATCCACAGTTTCAATTCAACTCTGCTGCTGTTTATTTTGAAGCCGTTATGAGGCGCAGTGTGGAAACCTGAAACTGCTGCTGCGCAAGTTACTCAACAGGTTGTTGCTAGGTAACCAAAGAGTGAGTGAGTTAGTTGACTTCACCAACTTTGCTTAGCTAGCTGTGCGAGGTTGAGTGGCTAAAGCTTTTCCTCTGCCTACATCTCCCAGAATGCTGTGCAGTTCTGGCTCAGAGGTCAGTGAATACCCTATGTATTGAATATTGCAGCATATGTATTATCTACAGATATTGATCATGTATCTATCACAGTACATATTGTTGCTGATTTATTGTCCAAGCCTAACTTAGAAACCAGTAAACATCTTTGCACCTCAACTTTTGAAACAATTAATTATCTGATCATTAATTGTAGATTTAATTGTTTATTAGATTAAAATTAGTTCCAAGCGGTTAACTCATAACATCCGCTTCAGAAACAAAGATGGCGGCCAAACCAGAATGGTAAACAGAAACGGTCCAAACAGAGTCCATATTGCAACAGAATATTTGAGTTTTATATTGGAAATTTTTCTTGTATATTTACAATGAATCTAAACCATCGTCCTTCCAACAACTTTCATCTGTCCCCCCTCTGCTTTTTATCTTTATTAAGATCTCGAGATGGTAGGGATGGCCTAGGATTGCATGCAAGATGGGTTGATGCTCTGCGAAACAATTTCCCATTCAGCACGTCAGTGTAAAGCCCCCTCAACGGTTCGGCTCTTCAGTCACAGAGAGAGAATCGGTTGAAAGATACACGAGAGAAGTAAAAGGGTAGAGGAGGGGGAGAACGGCTTTTTTTTCTCAACAAAAGAAAGTTAGAGAGCGAGGGAGGGAGATTGAAAGGAGGGACGGTGCAGGAGAAAGTTTGCGGAGCCGGAGCGGGCAGCGGCTGCCAGGCGCTCAGGAATTCATGGTCGATTTGTTCTCGTCCAGTTTGCAATAAAACACACAAAAAAAAAGGCTGAAGGGGAGACTTCTGTGAGTTGAGGGGTAAGCAACAGATTGCAGATGCCTCCTTTGGAAAGGCTCCTTGTGAAAAAGCAGGTCCTCCTCTCCGTGTCCAGAGAAAAGAGCCCTTCTCTACTGTAAAGGAGCGCTCGGGACATTGTGGGGCTTGTCAATGGCTCTCGGCTGGGGCGCCGGCTGAATACAAGGAGGCCCAGTGTTCGGCATCGCAGCTCCGTCTATTGAGGCCAGAACCGTAATGGGGGCCCCCGGGGGATCTACAGGGATTTCAGAGGGCCCAGTTTCAATGGGGACCAAGTCCTTTTAACTGGAACATTGTGCGGCGCTCTCTTCCTCTGTCCTGGAGATCAGGAGAGAGGGAAATTCCTCTGCATATCAAACAGAACGTCTTCATTCCTAATGGACTCTGGATGGATTAAATTTTTGGGGACACAGTGTGAGACGTAAAGGGTGGGGTGGTATTGTTCGCATACACTGCAACAACACAAAATTTTACCAAGTATTTTTGGTCTGGTTTCTACTGCAAATGTGTCACTACAATTAAAATAAGACACAACTAACTTAAAAACTAACGATAAAGATATTGGAGCTTCTTTTGAGTCAAAAATTAGATAATATTGATGAAAAAGTACTAGTTCCATTGGGAGATTATTTCACTTATAACATGGGAAACATTTCGTGTTATAAGTGAAATAATCTGCTAGTGGAACTGATACTTTATAAAATCAATATTAAGTAATTATTGACTCAAAAGAAGCTCCTAATTATTGGTAAAGTTAATTCTTCTTTCAAATTTACTAAGATATTTGCACTAGAAACTATACCAAAAATACTTGGTAAGAGGTTTTGCTGTGTAGCACGTTTTCTTTCCACTCAACTTTCCATTAATACACAGCCAGCTTCTTTAGTAGTCACATCTTGAGAGTTGCACTACAAAAACACAAAATATCACCAAGCATTTTTAGTTTACTTATTGTATTGCAAAGTAGACTAAAAGCTACTTTGCAATAGTCAACTTTGTATTGCAATTATCTCAGTATAGTTGAAATAAGACAAAACTAATTTACAAGTAAGCTAATAAGATAGCTTACTTGTAAGCTATTTGAGCTTGTTTTAAGTAAATAAATCCTTAATATACTTTTTTTTTTAAATCAATATGTAATTTTTTGCCTGAAAACAAGCTTCTGTTTCTTGCTCAAAAGTTTCTTCCAGGTTGGTTTTGTCTTAATTTATGTTTAATAAGATGTTTACCGTACAAACTAAACTGAAAATACTTGGTAAAATTGTGTGTTTTCAGTGCAAAAGTTGTTTTTCTTCCACTAAACCTTACATTAATACACTTAGATTCATCTTTTTGGAAACAGCCAGTTTCTTTAGCAAAACATCTTGGGAGTTGCACTACAAAAACAAAGTTTTTCCAAGTATTTCAGTCTAGCATCTATTGCAATTATCTTAGCACTTGAAATAAGTCAAAACTAACTTACAAGTAAGTTATTAGCAAGATAAGGGAGCTTATTTTAGTCAACAGTTACATAATTAGTGACTGAAAAGCTTCTGTTTCTTGCTGAAAAGT